CAGAGGTTTCTTCCCAAAGGGGAGTTTTTCCTCTCCACTGTCGCTTCATGCTTGTTCACGGTACCTGCATCACCAAGAAGGACCTCATATCCCGAGTCTCTGAGTGAAGCCCCGGCGTCAGCTCCCTCAATCTTCTAGTCCCTCAATTCTGCTCAGCAGATCACCTTGTCAACCAGCTCGGATCAAACCACCACCAGTTTCAGGCCAGGGGGAACATCCCTATTCTCATTCATCTACTCATGCATGTTAAAGCATAATTCAGCATGAATGTTCCTGCCGAGGTCTGAGCGCCAAAGACTTTACCTTCTTATCAATAAAACTCTTCTAATTATCTTTTTCTCTGTGTGAGTTTTTCAGATTGAAATATATTTCTGCTTTGTGTTTATACCAGTTTGTGTGAACTATTTAATGAGACAATAAAGCTGAAGAATTCACCATCTAAACGTTACACAAATTTAAGTGACAGTCACTCGTTCATGCTCTGACAGTTATTCTACTTGATGATCAATATTTTATATAATAGCAGTTTACAATAATACTGTTCGTCTTACTGATTATGTTTAATTTTTTTAAAGCAAAAACATTAGTTGTATGATAAATCAGGGTTTATTTAAGAATCAAGGCAGCTTACTCATATGCAAGACTGTTTTAAGAACCACACAATATTTTTCCCATAAAACCTACGAATAAAACGAGATGCTCATGTGTTAAAAAAAAATATTGAAAGAGAAATGCAGCTTTTGTACAAAAAGCCTTTTGTAAAAAAAAAAAAAACTGAAACGAAACAGAACACTTTGTCAAAAATGTCCCAAATTTTTTTATTTATTTATTTTTTTTGAGCAAGCAAATCAATATTCATATAGGAACAGTTTTGTAACAAATATTGGATTAAGTCAAACCAATAAACAAAACCTAAGGAGCAAACACAAGGAATTTGAAGGAAAAAAATCAAATGAATGAGGTCAAAACTGGGAGGACCGGTCTCTCCTCAGTGTCCCTGGGAGCCCTGGGTGGTCTCATAGGTCAAAGAGCCCACCTTCCTCCACTGGTGTGCAGAAGGTTCTGTGTAAATTCCCTTTTATATGAAAATATGCAGAATAGAAAGTATTAAAATATGTTTTTTGTTAGAGCTAAGTTCTCAAGTAAGGTCTACAGCATGGGATCATGTGTGAGTGGCAATAGGGCAGGGATGGAAAACCTTATTATTTTACAGGCTACAGAGGATTTAATGCATTCACAAAAATATGGAGGTGTAGGTCCCAAACTCAGGACTTATAAAACACTTTATGTGGCTGAGGGCTGCGTTTTGTAAATATCTATGATATGCATAGATTTATGTTTTTATCACCAGTTTTGAAAATGCATGTTTATTTTATATTTGATGTGAAGCAACTTGTTCTTTCAATTAAATTACATTATAAATCCAGCAAATATTAATAACTGATGTTTTTTAAACTTTGGTCCAAGTCCCAGAGAGCCAGATTCAAACAGACACTTTATTTTCATACTGAACAGAGAGATGATTAAGAGCTATCTGCAGACTTTTACATGGAAAGAAAATGTTGATTTTGATAAACTCAAAAAAGAATGAATTTATCAATGAAGACATATTGAGTAACCTATAGCCAAGATACTTTTATGATAGAATTATTTTAAAAGAACACCTAAATTTTAAATCTGGTTATTCTACACAGTATAAATGTTGAAGTCAGTGCAGCAAATTAAACAATAGTTTGTGATGGATTAGTCTGTGGTGATAATTCACCTTTTCTGATCCTCTTGATTTACATTCATAGAGAAGAATAGAATAGCACAAAAAGACAAAATCCAAGACCATGATATTTTCAATTAAAAGATTTTTCAAAAGGCAAATCCAAAGAGGGTTTTACTAAAGTTGTGTTTGATATTTTACTTGTGTATGAATATATATTTAACCAGGATTGGGAGTTGTAGGTAATTGATAGATTCTTCAAAATCAAGGGTAAAACCAGCTTAAAATTCTCAGTTGGACAATTATAACTGCAATGTGGTTTCTCACCAGGATTTTGGCCTTTCAGAATCTGGGTGGCTTGTGGACTGGCTGATAAAATCCAGTTATTACCCACCAACTTAGTGACTTAGGCTATTTAATACCAACTAAAGAAATCTTGTCTCTATTTATTTACATATTTACCTTATGGTGAAAGGCAGTCTTAACTTGTCAGTTTGTAGTTTTTATCAGCAGTATGTTTACTTAAAGTAATAAAGAAAAACACACTTTTTTGTCAATGAAAATACATCATCAGTTTTTGATAAATTAGTCTGTGCTGATGATTCTGTTTCCGATCTATATAAATCACTCCCTTACTGTTTATAGAGATGTAATATCTGGATGAAAGCAAAAAATATATAAAATTGTAAGACCATAATGTTTTTATGTCATTGAGTTTGCAAAGCAGAAATCAGAATTACACGAAGAGTGCATCTTAAACCTTGTCTAATTCACACAATCACACGAAATCTTTTCAGAAAATGTTTATTGAAAATATTCTATGAAACATTCTGCTACAAGGTTTCTGCTTGAAAGTGATCCAATCAAATCAAAACATATTTTGAAACATTCAACTTTGCAGCAAGGTATTTAATATGAAGGAAAGTTATGAATATATCTTAAAGAACAGAGAAGAAAATAACAGTTTCAGAACAAAAAGAACCATTCTATCTCAGTACTGGGAACACTGGTCTCTCCTCAGTGTCTCTGTGACTGCAGTCTGGGAGCCCTGGGTGGCCTCACAGGTCACAGAGCCCACCTTTCTCCACTGGTGTGCAGGGAGCCTCAGGGTGCTGCTCCAGCTGTAGAGACCGTCCTTCTGCTGCACTACTTGGCTCTTTTCCTCCTCCCAGGTGAAGGTGTTAATGCTGCCCTCCACCTTCCAGGACAGACTCCAGTCTGAGGGGAAGCCCTTGTTGGCCAGACACACGAGGGTGGCCTTCCCCTGGTGCAGATCCTCACTGGAGGGGGGCAGCACTGTCACAGTGGGACGGGTATTACCTGGGAGACACCAATCGGTTTAGAGAATGGAAAGTATTCAGACATTTAACAGCAGAAACTGTAACAGTTTACATAAAGGAAGGGATTTTCTATGTTAAGAATTTTCTACCAGACGTCTTCATGCTTCACTCGTCTCTCACTGCCACATGGTTTCATTTCCTTTTTAATATATAGTCAGATTTAAACAGATAGAACTACCAGACAATTTGATGGTAAGCCCTAAAGACCTATAGCTATTTTCCTAAATTTTAACAATAAAATAAAAACTTGACGATAAAATAAAAATAAAATAATATAAAATAACAATAAATGTACAATAAAATAAAACCTTTCAGAATCTCATATTTATTGTGATATTTTTTTTATGAACCAAACCTCTTATTTTTAGATGTAAATAGTTTTTTTTAAACTATAAATTCTGAAAGAAAAAAGAAACCGAAAACAGTTTTTCCATAGTAACATTTTATCTGACCGTCTTTATCTGTAAACTATGAAAGACTCCACAAATATCATCAGCTTTGTTTCTGCTCAAGTACTGATGTTTCTATTTATAAAAGACAAACAAACTGTCATTTATTTTAGAAGCAACATTTGAAATAATTGGCACATAATTTAGATATTATCTCAATTCTGTTTTAATCTGTTTGTTTGTTGAGAGAAATAAATAAATGCAAATATATTTTTATCCTGTTTTCTAAAGAAATAGCTCAAGGTTTTTCTAAGGATCACACAATATTTTCAAATTTAGTATTAAATCTGATATTAATTCCAATATCCAGCCTTGTCCAGCACAGTAATACAAACTCATTGAGCCATATAAAAAAAAAAATTGCATATAGAGAAACATTCTCTTTGACTAAATTAAACCTGCAAACCCAGATTAAACTAATGTATCAAGCCAAACACAATTTTGTTTTCAGATCAATGCTAACTTGTTATCCCCAGGATAATTTTGGTTCCAACAGCTGTCTTTGCAAAAAAAAGTAATATTTTTTTTTCAGCTTCAATCTGTGAAACAGGTTTTAAACATTAAAACCAAATCCCTAAAACTAGCCGTTTGATATTTTACTTACCTCCAATATCCAGTCTGGTTCCTCCACCAAAAGTCCACCACAGTGATACAAACTCATTGAGCCGTCGTACAAAAACCTCTGACTGTAGAGAGACACGGCTCTCTGACTCAGTTTGACTAAACTAATCTCTAGAAGCTAAAACAACTAAAAAAGAAAATAACTTCTTCATAGAGATTATCACAAATTTTATTGTATTTCACAATTTATTTAATAAATTCTCAATATGTACTCTGTATCCCACTGCAATCTTTCTCCATAAAATTCTAAATAAATTTAGTGGAATTTAACCTCTCATCCATAAAGGTGAAACAGAAAAGATAAAAAATATTACTCAAAGAAGATAAAGCATAAAGTTTTACTTACTTCCAACCTCCAGTCTGGTTCCTCCACCAAACGTGTACCACAGTGATACAAACTCATTGAGCCGTCGTACAAAAACCTCTGACTGTAGAGAGGAACGGCTCACTGACTTTAAACCAAACAAAATATAAGAAGTTCAAGTTTCAAAATTGTTGAGATAATAAACTCTAGCTTACTAATGTGATGGTTAACCCCCTCTTCCAAATAGGTATAGTTTTTTTCTCTTGTATTGTTATTTTCAATTGCAGAAGATGAATAATTAATAATATCAACTACATAAGAACAAATCACCAAATTATTTGTATTAGAATTTTTTTTTTAATGAGAAAAACAATGAAACAACAATGAAAGACTTTTAGACTTCTAAAACCAGATCAGTCTTCCTCAAAATATTTAAATAATTCTATAATAACATAATTCTTTGTGAAGTTGTATAATAGCTTGTATTAGCTTGATTGTCTTTGGAGTCAATTGTTGTGTTTATGTTCAACACAGATTATTTTCCATTGAATAGATAATTCCCACAAGAATGGAAATGAAAGTAATTGGCTCATGCTCCATTAGGGTAGGATACTAGTAGATGGCAGGCCAGCTGACAGCCCGGGACAGAATTGACGAGTCGGGGTCCATCAGGTCATACTTTGTATGAATTATATATGTATGTATTCATATCCATTTTCCTATCTCCAGCTGTCTACGGGGTGAGAGGCAGGGTACACCCTGGACAGGTTCCCAGTTTATTGCAGGTCAACACAGAGACAAACAGGACTAAAAAACATTCATACACAAGCACAATTTAGAGAGGCCAATTAACCTAACAGTCATGTTTTTGGAAACCGGAGTACCTGGAGAGAACCATACTACGAATACATACTCAGAGAGAACACGCAAACTCCATGCAGAAAGACCACAGGCCGGGAATCAAACCCGCAACCTTCTTCCTGCAAGGCAGCAGTGCTACCCACTGCTCCACTGAGCAGCCCATGTATATGTATTAATTAAAAAATAAAATAAAAAAACTTTTCCTCACCCACCGCGGGCGGACTCCCTTTTTCTTCCAAGCCCGGGTCCTTTACCAGAGGCCTGGGGCTTGAAAGTTCTGTGCAGTATCTTTACGGTTACTAGAACTGCACTCTTCCGGACTGAGATGTCTGATGTATTTCCAGGAATCTGATGTTACCTAGGGCTGGGCGATAATTCAATAACGATATATATCGATCGATAGACGTGTGGCGCAATAGAAAAAAAGAGGGTCGATAAAAGTTCGATAAAAAAGAAA